TTTTTTGAGACAGAGTCTCGCTCTATCACCAGGCTAGAGTGCAGTGGCACGATCCTGGCTCACTGCAACTTCCATTTTCTGGTTTCAAGCAATTCTCCTGCCTCAGCCTCCCACGTAGCGGGACAACAGGCACGCACCACCACACCCAGCTAATTTTTTGTACTTTTAGTAGAGATGGGGATTTCACCATGTTGGCCAGGATGGTCTCGATCTCTTGACTTCGTGATCCGCCTGCCTCGACCTCCCAAAGTGCTGGGATTACAGGCTTGAGCCATTGCACCCAGCCTGGATTCTTTATAATTTCTATTGTTATACTGATATTCTCATTTTGTTCATACATTATTTTCCTCATTTCCATTCATTTCTTATATATGGTTTAAGTTAGCTCATTGTGCATAGAGAAGTTGATTGAACATCTTTGACGAGTAATTCCAATGTCTTGGCTTCCCCAGGGATGGTTTCTGCCAAATTATCTTTTCTGGTAAATAGGCCATATGTTTCCTTGTATATTTTGTAATCTTTTGTTGAGGACTAGTTACTAGGGATATCATAATGTGGTAACTGCATGGAGGTCAGATTCTCTAACCCCTCAAGGATTCCTGTTCTTTGCTTATTGAGGGCTTCAGCTATTCATTTGTGCCTTTTCCAAACTATTTGTGTAAAGTATGTATTCCTTGTTGTGTGTAGTCACTGAAGTTTCTGTCTATTATCTCTGTGGTCAGACAATGACCTGAGAAGGATTTCCTTAAATGTCTGATTCAAAAAAGGAGGTGGGGGAGGTGTGTCTGTCCCTTAATCTTCTGGTATTTGAGAGAAAGCTGCTGTAGCCTAAGAGAGCTGAAACCAAGGCAGTGTCTGCACTGGTCCTACAGGAATCTGCCTGACTGACCAAAGCATGTAACCCCCAATTTTTGGAGGTAATGTACTTTGTCTTTTGTAACCTTTCTTGGCTTACAACCTTGTCCTCACTGTCTGCCCTAGCACCAGCCAGCTGCTCCGGGAATGTGGGCTGCTATCCCAATAGCTACAGCAGGGCTGAGAAAAGGAAAATGGTAGCTAGTTCATGCACATCATTCCCTTCCTAAAGATCTGCAGCCTCTTCCATCATCAAGCACTTCCCAGTGCTCAGTCAAGTTCCCAGGTTCCAAAATAGTGGATTTTGATCTTTTTTTCTAGTTTACTGGTTATTTTGGTAGAGGGACTGACCCCCCAGAGCTTTCTTCTCCATCATGTTGCATAACATCACTCCCCTTGGAGATTACAATTAAGGTATTAACTTATAACAGTCTAGTTCTCATTGATACCAATTTAACTTTGCTAATTTACGAAAACTTGGCTATTGTATAGTTCTAACTATCCTTAGTTCTAGATTGTCATACAAATTACATTTATAGACATTGTATGCCCGTCAACAGTGATTTATAATCATTGCTTTATCTTTTAAATCACAGGGGGGAATGTTTACAACTAAAAAAACTTTTATACTGTCATGTAGTTTACCAGTGCTGTTTAACTTTTTATGTGGATTTGAGTTACCCTAGTGCCCTTTCCCATCAGCCCACAGGACTCCTTTTAGTATCAATTACAGAGTACATCTGCTAATGACGAATTCTGTTTTATTTTGTTTCAATCTGGGAATATGCTGATTTTGCCTTCATTTTTGAACAATCGTTTTATTGCATATAGAATTCCTGGTTGACAGTCTTTTTTCCCTCAGCACTTTGAATATGTCATCACTGCCTTTTGTCCTTTGTTCCTGATGAGAAACCAGCTACTGATCTCATCAAGGATCTATACACAATAAGAAGCTGCTCTCTGCCTTCTTTTGAGATCCTCTCTTTTTCACTTTTGGTTGATTATGATTTGTCTGAGTTTGGATCTCTTTTACTTTATTCTACTTGTATTGAGTTTCTTAGATGTGTAGTGTCTTTCATCAAATTTGGGTCATTTTTAGCCAATATTTATTCAAATATTCTTTTTGCCTCTTCCTCTTTATCCTTTCCTTCTGGGACTCCTAGTATGTGTATGTTGTGCTTGATGGTGTCACAAGTATCTGAAGCTCTGTTCATTTTTCTTCATTCTTTTGTCTTTATCTTCCTTAGACTGAATCATCTCAATTAACTTGTCTTCAAATTGCTTGACTCTCTTCTGCCACCTCAAATCTACTGTTTCAGCCCTGTGATGAACTTTTCATTTTAGCTACAATTCTTAACTCTAGAATTTCTATTTGCTTTTTTTTTTTTTTTTAAATGATTTCCATCTGTTGATAATCTCTGGCAAGTCATTGGAGTCATGTTTTAGATCTTTAGATATGGTTTTCTTTTTTTTTTTCCCATTCAAACCTACTGAAAATCAATTTTTTTAGTTCTAGAACATATTTAAAACAGCTGATTTAAAGTCTTGTTCTAGTAAGTCCAATATCTGGACTTTCTCGGGGACAGATTCTGTTGGCTGATTTTTTTTCCCCTGGGTATGGCCATACTTTTTTGTTTCTTTACATGACTCATAATTTTGTTGACAACTGGATTTTATGGGGGACAGGGGGTAGATGGAGTCTTGCTCTGTCACCCAGGCTAGAGTGCAGTGGTACAGTCTTGGCTTACTGCAGCCTCAACCTCCCAGGCTTAAGCAATCCTCCCACCCACCTTGGCCTCCCAAGTAGTTAGCTGGACTACAGGCACACCCCACCAGTCCTGGCTGATTTTTGTATTTTCTTTGTAAAAATGGGGTTTCACCACTTTAGCCAGGGTGGTCTTGAACTCCTGGATTCAGGCAATCCGCCTGCCTCAGCCTCTCAAAGTGTCGGGATTACAGGCATGAGCCACTGCATCCAGCATAGACAGTTTAAACAACATAATGAGGCAGCTGTAACAATCAGACCCACCCCACCCCTGCCAGGATTTGTTATTTTTTTTTGTTTAGTGATTTTTCTGAACTAATTCTTGAAATTTTGTATTCTTTGTCACATGTGGCCACTGAAGACTCTGCTCAGTTGTCTTAGTGATCAGCTAATGACTGGACAGAGATTTCCTTAAATGCCTGGAACCCATAAGTTTCACTGCCCCTGCTGAGGGGCTCTGTGTGTGTTGGGTCATGCCTTCAGCACTCAGCCAGGCAGTTTAGAATTCCACTTCACTTTCCGTTTTGCCAGAGCCTCAAGGTTAGCCGTAGGTGACAGCTTACAGGATTCTCAAGTCTATACTTGGCACATGCACAGTACTACACACGTGTGGACTTTTGGATGCCTAAGAATGTGTTAGAGGTTTGCAAAGTTCCCTATGATGTCTCATTCCCCAGTTTTCCCAGTTAAACTTTTGGTCAGCTTGTTATTGCACCAAATGTTACCACTGCCTCAGGCAGCTGGGACATTTAACAACTGCTGAAGGTTTTCAGTAAATGCTGTCAGGGAAAAAAAGTGTTTTACACTGGATGAGTTCTCAGACAAGCCTTGATTTGACCAGGATTCTCCAGGGAGCTGCCAGACAGGTTAATGGATAACAGTGATCTGAGAATGGAGCTTTCGAGGAGTTCCATCCCCATTCTGCCCTGCCCAGAGGCTGCTGGCTCTTGGTTTTCACTGTGATTAAGGGCTGTTGATTTTTAAAGTTACCTTAGGGCTGGGGGAAGGGGTAGGGGCCAAGGCAAGTTAAAGCTTCCTGAGATTCAGCCATTTTTCTTGAACAAATACTCCTTAGACTATTCCAAAACTTTAATGTCCAGAGTTCTGGAAAAGTTTATTTTTGACCATTTTTTCCCGTGATCTCTGTTCCTTTATGGAGGAGAGTGTTCAGAGGTCCTTACCTCACCACTCTGCTGGCATCACTCCTCTTTTCCAGTAATTTTAAGCTCACTTTCAATCAGTCCTCCCATAAGTAGCCTGGCTATCTACTCTACTGAGGAATTTTGTGCCACCTAGGTTTACCTTAATAATTAACATTTATGTGGCATATCAGCATTTTTATGTATTTCATTTAATCATAAATACTAGAACCACCAACTAGGTATTAGCCTTAACAGGTGAGCAGTTTTCACTTTTTCAGGAGTGCTTATTAAATTGTATATTTAAATTGCCTTTTTTTGGTTGTTTTTTGAGATGGAGTCTTCCTCTGTCGCCCAGACTGGAGTGCAGTGGCATGATCTTGGCTCACTGCAACCTCTGCCTCCTGTGTTCAAGCAATTTTCCTGCCTCAGCCTCCCAAGTAGCTGGACTTACAGGCATGAGCCACCGTGCCTGGCTAATTTTTGTACATTTAGTAGAGATAGGGTTTCACCATGTTGACCAGGCTGGTCTTGAACTCCTGACCTCAAGTGATCCACCCTCCTCAGCCTCCCAAATTCTGGGATTACAGGCGTGAGCTACCATGCCCAGCCTATATTTACATTGTCTTACGTCATTTTTTAATCTCTAATAGTGCTGAGAGACTGTTCCGTCATGTTGAATGGAGTCTGGTAAGCACAGAACTTAGCCCAAAGACTATTAAGATCCTCTCTAGCTAGGTAATAAGCCATACAGAAGTTCAAACTGCTCCCTTACCCTTATTGCTGCTTCTTGATGAGGTTAAATGACATTTATTATTCAAGCTGATTTTACATTTTAGGTTATCACAAACTGCTGACGAAGAGCGTGGCCGAGACTCCAGTGCATAAGCAGATCTCCAAAAGGCTGCTGCATAGACAAATCAAGGGCAGGTGAGTGACATCCCCATCCAGGCTTGTTCACACCCACACCTCCTCAAAGCGACCTGTGGGCCACTACTTGCCTTCTCTTGATCTTCGTGACTTAAATCTTAACTCTATTGCTTGAAACCAAGAGCATTCTATAAACTCTCCATGGGAACAGGAGAATCATATAAAATGTACACTCGTCTGGCCTCAATTATTTTGAGATTAATCCATGTTGTTGCATGCAGTAATTCATTCTTTTTTTTTTTTTTTTTTTTTTTTTTTTTTTTTTTTTTTTTTTTTTTTTTTTTTTTTTTTTTTTTTGCCAAGAAGTATTCCATGGAATGGATAAATCCATTCATCTGTTAACATGTGGAAGGTGGAAGTCTGCGATCCTAACTTGGCCTTTGCTAACAGAGCTGTGGGTGGGACTGCAGTTTTCTTCTGCAGCGATTGGTTGGAATAGGGCAGTTATTGTCTGAACGTTTTCTGTCTTGCTTTGCTTCCCTTTCCTAGTTCTTTGGCTTGAGAGCTCTCCTTCCTTAAGGCATTTCTGCTCCTGTTATATCTGAGTTGCCAGCTTCTCCGGCATGCAACCTGGGAGTGTAGGCAGCAGTCAGAAAACAGGGAGCTCACTGCCCTCCTCAGGTCTCAAGGTCCCCAGCCAGGCTGCCTCTGCCTCTCAGACTTATCTTCTGCTCATTTTATAGATAATGTCACAGGATTTTAGCTCAATGTCAAGGGTAATAGAAGCACACCTACTTCTTGTCAAGAATCTATCCTGACATTATTTATATATGGATTTTACATACTTGTGAAGTTTATAAGTTAAATTGCAAAAAGTGAAATTGGTGAGTCAGAGGCATATATATTTTCAATTTTTCTACAAAGTCTTTGACACATTGGCTGAAATGAAGGCTCCTCAACAGAAACTTGAATGTTGCTACTCATTACTGTGATAGTCTGATATTTTGGTATAATTTTTTTTTAATACATGAATGGAATTTGTACTTCTGATGTTGTAAATTGCTTTCCAAGAAAAAAAAAACCACATTCTAAGCATCTCACTTTTTTTTGAGTCAGAGTCTCACTCTGTTGCCCAGGCTGGAGTCCAGTAACACAATCTCAGCCCACTGCAAACTCTGCCTCCTGAGTAGTTGGGACTACAGGTGTATGCCACTGCACCCAGCTAATTTTTTTTTTCTTTTTTGAGATGGAGTCTCACTCTGTCGCCAGGCTGGAGTGCAGTGGTGTGATCTCTGCTCACTGCAACCTCCGCCTCCTGGTTTCAAGCAATTCTCCTGCCTCAGCCTCCTGAGTAGCTGGGACTACAGGCATGCACCATCACACCAGCTAATTTTTGTGTTTTTAGTAGAAACAGGGTTGCACCATGTTGGCCAGCCTGGTTTTGAACTCCTGACTTCAAGTGATCCGCCTGCCTCAGCCTCCCAAAGTGCTGGGATTACAGGCGGGAGCCACCGTGGCTGGCCTCTCTCTTGAACAATAATCATGTATGAGAGTGCTTACCAGCACTGGTGTTATCAGACCCTGTGATCTTGTGAAATAAGAAGCTGCTTTTCTCTTTAATGAGTGTGAGTTACAGGTGACATGGAATAATCCTTGTGCATGTGTTCCTCAAGGTCCTCTGATCCTGGTCCTGATATTGGTGTTGTTGAAGAGTCCCCTGAAAAAGGAAATGGTGAGTGTTACCTCTTTTTGTTTTTAATGCAATCTACCCAGCTTCTATGGAAATCTTTCTGCATGTATTGTTACTTGGCATATCCTAAGATATTTTACAGAAATTGTGCTGGCTCTGAGTCCACAATGTAGCTCGGTATTTTTGTTTTTAGTAGGGACAGGGTTTCACTATTGGCCAGGCTGGTTTCGAACTCCTGACCTTGTGATCCACCCGCCTCAGCCTACCAAATTGCTGGGATTACAAGTGTGAGCCACTGTGCCCAGCCACACCATTCTTAGATGGTGGCAGTAAATGAGACTTCTGAAGGTGATAGTCTAGTGGGTCAGTGTTTTTTTAATACCTTGTTAGGACCATGTATCAAACCCCTCTTAGTTTTTTAAGAGACACTTCAGAAGTCTCTTAAAGCCAATAGCTTGTTGAATTTACATCTTATATATTATATAAATTTTTCCCATTTTTGACAACATGGGAAAATGTCAAGCTTGTAGTTCTCTTTGGTTACTTACTGTGGTTCTGATTTTACAGAAATAAGCTTGAGACGAAGTCCTCGAATCAAGCAGTTGTCATTTAACAGGACACACTCTGCCTCCTTCTATTCTTTGTCTCAACCGAAGTCTCGAAGTGTGCAAAGAGTCCACTCGTTCCAGGAAGTTAAGTCAGGTAACATACAGGCCCCTGTGCCTTCACAAGTCCATGCTGATTTGGTGGGAAGTCTTTTTTGGGAAAAGAAGCATGAAATTTGACATCTTCTTTCTTGACATTGGAGAATTAGGATAGGGATGTATGGTTGAGGTTCAGGACTAGATGAACAGTCCATGGCCTTTATACTCAGTCATCCCTCAGACTCCTACAGCTGGTCATCCATGCTGTTGTTATAGGGAGCTCATTCATTCAAGAGGAAGCTACCCATAATTTCCCATATGAACATATCCTACACATCAGTATCTTAGGTGGAAGGTGATATCTGTGTTTATATTCTTCATTCTTCTGTCCATGGTTAGCTTGCTAATAGATGTGTGTTTATTATTTTATCTTTTTTTGAGACAAGGTCTCACTCCGTCACCCAAGCTGGAGTTCAGTGACGCAAACACAGCTCACTGTAGCCTCAACCTCCCAGACTCAGGTGATCCTCCCACCTTAGCCTCCCTGCTAGCTGGGACTGCAGGCGTGTACCACCACACCCATGTAATTTATTGTGTTTTTTTGGTGTGTTTTTTTTTTTTTGAGGTGGAGTCTTGCTCTGTCGTGCAGTGGCACGATCTCGGCTCACTGCAACCTCCACCTCCCAGGTTCAAGTGATTTTCCTGCCTGAGCCTCCCCAGTAGCTGAGATTACAGGTGTGTGCCACCACACCCGGCTAATTTTTGTATTTTTTTTTTTTTTTTAAGTAGAGACGGATTTTACTACATCGGCCATGCTGGTTTTGAACGCCTGACCTTGTGATCCACCTGCCTCAGCCTCCCAGAGTGCTGGGATTACAGGCATGAGCCACCATGCTCAGCCATTTTTTGTGTTTTTAGTAGAGATGGGTTTCACTGTGTTGCCTAGGCTGGTCTCAATGTGCCGGGCTCAAGTGATCCACCTGCCTCAGCCTCCCAAAGTGCTGGGATTGCATGCCAGATATGTGTTTTTATATTTAAATTTACAAATTAAATTATTTCAGTTCCTACATTTTCTAACATAGGAGCTGGAGTGAATACAAAGTCTTATTAAAATTTAAAAAGGCAGCAGTTATTGCAGTTGCTGCCATAATTACGTGGGATTTTTCCCCGAGTTGCTCTAAAAAATTATTGCCTTTTTATTAGAACTGGCTGTTTTAATAGTACTGGATGAACAGGAGTTGAGAAAGAATTAAATGTTGTTGCTGTTTTTGACTTGCAGACCAAAGAGAAAATTCTCCAGTCCAAAGTATTCAATCTCCTAAGAGTCTTCTTTTCGGGGCAGTGTCTGAGATGATCAGACCCTCAGAAAAGGGTTCAGCTCGAATGAAAAGGCGTTCAAGAAGCACACTGGGTTCAGAGATACCTGCAGCTTACCAGGTATACAGTTTCTGTGACGTTTGAAATAGAACAATCTCCTGGAACAAAGAGACATGGCCAAGGAACTCAAGAGTCCATTAGGGAAAAGAAAGCGGGTGATCTCTAGATTTGAGGTGATTGGGTGGAGCCATATGAATGATTATTAGCCATGTGGGAACTTGAAGCAGCAGGTTTGACTGAACCCACAGTAGGGGAGGAGACAGAGATGATCTCATCTGTTCTCTTGGTTTCATCTACTGTTTATATTGTATACTACACCGATGCTTTTCTGGAGACTGACACTCATCTTTTCCATTTGATTGCTTACTCGATCCAGTCACCACCATTAGAAACCTGGGAGTCCTCCTTCGCCCCCTCCCCAGACATAGCCATTCAGTTGAGTCTTGCCCATTTTATTTACAAACAGACTTTTTTTTTTTTTTTTTTTTTTTTTTAAGACAGTATCACTCTTTTGCACAGGCTGGAGTGCACTGGCGCAATCTAGGCTCACTGCAACCTCCATCTCCCAGTTCAAGCAATTCCCCTGCTTTAGCCTCTCAAGTAGCTGGGATTACAGGCATCCACCACAATGCCCAGCTAATTTTTGTACTTTTAGTAGAGACGGGGTTTCGCCATGTTGGCCAGGCTGGTCTCAAACTCCTGACCTCAAGTCATCTGCCCGGCCTACAAACTGACTCTTGTACCCACCCTCCCTTCTCCCTCCCTGCAATTCCTACCCTAGTTTAGGTCTACCTAGAATACTTCAACAGGCTTTTCCCTCTCAAAGGGAAATCCTCCACGCAGAGGTCGGAGTGATCTTTCTGAAATACTTCTCTCAGTTTGCTTAAAATGTTCACTTTGCTTAAAGCTCTATAGACTCCCTGTCTGCTAAGGCAAGTTTTTTTTTAATCTTTTCCTAAATGGAACTCTGCCTTCAAAAATAATCACCTTTGTTTGGAAACCCAATAAATTGCTTGGAGGTTGGGAAGGACATGCAGCTCTGGACAAAGTTTTGAAAACCATAGATCTACATGACCAAGATCAGTCTCCTCCCCCTGGCAGGCAGGGTCCTCCGTGGTCTGGTCCCTCTGGCCTCAGCCCTTACTCCTCCCCACTCCACCGTCCCAGCATCATCAGGCTGGGTGCTGTCCTGCACAGCTACTGCATTTCACTTCCGTGCCTTTGCTGGTATTGTTCCTATGCCTAAAGCCCGCCTCACCACCCCCCCCACCCCGTTTCCCACATTTGCCTTCCCCTGCTGATACCCATGCTTGAAGACCTGACCCGGCTGGGTTAGGCAGCCCTCCTTTACACTCTGTGATGTCCCTTGCACGTCCCTGTCACTGCACCGGCCACACTGTATTTTCTTTCACCTGTGTATGCCCTGCTGAACAGGAAATGCCAGCTAGACTGGGAGTCCCCTGATAGGATCAAGGAAGGTTGTAGGAAAGATAAGCATTCATCTCCTTACCTGTTGGAGTTTTTCACTACATTTTTTTGCAGGAAGGCAGGGAAATTTTTTGTTGGGGAGTATCTTTTCTGAGACATTATCTTTGCTGCTGCACCTTGTATATCCGCATATTCCATGTCCCCAACACACAGTGCCTGGCGCATTGCAGGTGTTCAGTAAGCACATGTTGAATGAGGGTGAGCAGCAGATGAGGTGGCTCCTGGAGGCTGCCTTAGGCAAAGATCTGAAATAGCTGCCTCATTTGAAGAGAAGGAAGAGCTCGAGAATAGCTGCAGTGGTAGAATGATTCCATTAGAGGCAAAAAAAATGGTTTAGCAATATGTAGATGATTCACACTATTTGTTTTTAGGACAAATGAAACTTGGATAGTGTTTGGTCCTAGAAAAAAGTGGACAAGTAAAATCTGAGTCATGTATTGGAGAGGGAAATAGGTCACTATTTGAGATTTCCATCTTTAGATCATGCTTTTGGCTGACTATAAATCTCCCATTTGGTCTTAGAGATTACTAAAACACTTCAGAGATCATGAGTTATAATAATCAAGCATTGAAATAAGCATTTCTCTTTTCAGACTCCCAAGAAGAGTCACCAGAAATCTCTGAGCTTTGCTCAAACTTCACCAAGAAGTTCCTCTCATACACCACAAACTCCGTCGTATATTCCAGAAAGGCCGCAGAAGTCCCCTGCAAAAAAGACCCCTACAAAGCAGGCAACTTTAAAGGAGTCCTTAAAAGATTCCTCCTCACACTTCTGTGAGTCACCATTGGATTCAAAAATCACTCCTCAAAAACGATGCACCCAGGCAGGAGAAAGCACTTTTCTTGAAACAAAGATACCAAGAACTCCTAAGAGGCAAGGTACTCAGCTGCCTCGGTTTTCACCAAATTGTACTTGGCCACATTCGGTGGATTCCAGTCCAGAAAGCCCCTCTTGTGCAGCAGCCCCAACTTCATCCATTGCCCAGCCCAGGAGAGAGTGTCTCAGTCCCTTCAGAGACCCTCTCAGAACACCCCCGAGAGCAGCAGCCTTCATTGGCACGCCTCAGAATCAAACACACCAACAGCTCCATGTCCCCAGAGCTGCTTGGGCAGAGGAACCACCCCAGAAACTGAAGAATAAAGCTATCAAAACCCCAGAAAGACCAGGGAATTCAACTATGACTTCTTCCCCACCTGTTACACCAAAGAAACTATTTACCGCTCCTTTATGTGATATTTCCAAGAAGAGTCCATTTGGGAAATCTAAAACAGAGTCTCCTTCCCCAGGAGAACTGGATGGGAAAGAGCCCCCAATGTCACCCAGCGTAGCTGCATCTCTCTCCTGCCCTGTTCCCTCAACACCCCCCAGACTCTCACAGAGCACTACATTGGACACCATCCCTCCTCCGCCCCCTTGTAAAGCTGGGAAATGGTGTAGAAAGACCTCTGGTCCCAGAAGGAGCATCCTGGAGTGTCAGCCCAGTGCCTCTGCTACTCCTGGGGTTGGCACAGCTGACA